TGAAACAGAAATCCAAAGAGAAAAAAGTTGGAAATCTCAAAATTCGTGTTTGGGTAGGGTTCTCCTTTCTCCTCTCTCCTTACATCGTTTCCCTCTCTCATCTGCACAACTAGACTTCTCCATTTTCAGATCTGGTGAGACCCGCATGCTTTTCTCTTCCTTATTTTCTTTGCTTCCCCTTTTTCTGTTAACCTAGACCTCTCTATTTCATGTATAGATGCTTTTCAAATTTTTGTTTCGAATGACATCAAGAAGTTCTCTTCTTCTAGCTCTCCAGTATTTTCCTAGTTCAAAGAAGCTCCAATCGCTTCCAGGAACGACATTGCCCTCTGCCATAAAATAATTTTAATTATTTAGGCTTCGATTTTTCTAATTTCTATTTTCATTTTTAGGTTTTAATTTCTTACTGTGATCTGTACAGGTTTTCATATTTTTAATTTCTCTTTGGACCAAGAATTTGTAGACAAGATGATGATTTCATATGATCTTGTCAGCTTCTTCTCATGGTACTCATCTTGCAGCTCAGGTTTCTTCTCCTTCTATTGTAGATTGTTTTGCATTTCTAAATTTTCTAGTTTAATTGATGAACTGAGTTTTCCTAAGTGATGTTGTCATACCTACAAGAAATTTATAAAATCATTAGTCTTGGCGTGGATTTCTCCTTCATTTTTGTATGGCAACTTTTGCTTCTATAAAATTTCTGTTGGGTTTCATTTATAATATTTTTTGTTCTACTCCGTAGTGTACTAAATGCTTGTGCAGGTTGCCTCTATTTGGGGTTTTAATGAAAGTTACTTTACGATTAAAAAAAGTAAAAAAAGAAATGCTTGTGTAGGTTCATATTCAGTAAAAATGATATTAGATGTGCCATCAATATCGATTTGGGTTAGGCATGTTTAAAGGTACTTGGGGTTTGTTATGTAACTTTTGTCATAATGGCATTATACATGTTGCGTGTAACTCCTCGTGAAGATGGGCCAGATATCCCTTACATATTTTTAGACTTTTTAGCATTGTGATCCAATCTTCAGTAGCTAGTTTTTACTAGCTATTTTGGTTTGAGTTTTATGATTATCTTTTGAGTTTTAGGTTTCAATCTTGGTCTTATTTGTGCAGGATTTCACTTTCTAATTTCTGTTTAGATACATTTGCAGACAAGGTGAGGATTCTATACATTAGTTTTATACTTAGTTGCTGATGTAGTTTAAATTTTTGAGAGCTGCATTCATCTTATCTTGTCTCCATCCTTGCCCATAGTCATATATGCAATAGTTTTCCAGATTTTCCCAAAATCAAGTACCGTTAGTGAATATATGATCAGGAAACCTGTACAAAGTGGCTGTGGAGAAAAAGTGCTCACCTCTGAATTTCAGTTCTTTCTTTCTTTCTTTCTTCTCAGTCTTCTCTATGTTTGTATGTGTTTCGGTCAACATCTTGTTTGTGCATGTTATAATACTGATTTGTTGTTGCTCTGATTTAGTGCAGTGCAGATGAAAAGAAAATGGGTTATTTTGCTAACATTTCAGATGGTGCGTAGCCTTTGCCATAGGTAGTTTTATTATTAAAGATTTGAGCTTTCTAATTTATATTTGGAGTTTAACCTTTCATTCTTGGGCTGTGATTTTTGAAGTTTTTAGTTTTTCAAGTTCTATTTGGACAATACATTTGCATCCAAGGTAAACATTTTATATGACTTTTACTAGTCGCTGATTTTATCATTAGTTTCATTGTTGAACTTATTAGGCTACCATTCAATGGTTTTTATAATAGGAGTTGTTTGGTTTATATTGTCTTTGTTATATAAGAACCTTCATATATTGTCTTTGTCACCAATCAGTCCCTGTAACTTCTGACAAGTTTTGGTTTCTTACAAAGGATATGCATTTTCACTGCCATATCCTTTTAGTAATAAGGGAAATTATGTTATAAGGTAGTTCAAAATCGTGTTATTGGTTGCCATGAATTTTGCACCATTATCATTTGCCTTTTGTTTTTCTCTCTTTAGTTCTGCTGGAATTTATCAAGAAAGCACTAACTTTCTTTATTTTCATTATTTTTTTTGTCAATACTTATTTTCATTATTTTTTTTTTAATAGAATAAACGTTTGATTTAATGTATCTTTCATGTATAATACTCTTTGTGATACATTACAGTTATGCTTCAACTTCCAAAAAAAGCTCTTGACTGTGGACATTGTGATGTAGTTTAAGTCAATTAGTACAATGGATGGGAGTGAAGGTAGAAGAGTTGGGGGTAGAAATATATCCAGGCTTTGCAACTAGTTAGGTACTCCTGTTAATTTTCTCTTGTTGTTTCTCAACGTACGTACTGTTGCATAAATTTACAACTGATCTTATTTGTCAGGTATTATATGATTCAAACGACATGTTTATTGGCATTGGAACAAATGATATGGCAGTTGCAAAAGATGGTTCAAAGAAGGCAAATTTCCAACATAGCATAGAACTGTTTCTCGTTTGGTTTGCCTCTTCTTCTATGCTTTGTATCTCTCGCCCTATATGCTGATAAAACCTCATTCCAAAGAAAATTCCATTTAGAGATTTAGTTCGGATTTTATTACTTTTGATTTTTTGTTCTAATAACTTAGGATTTTATTACTCTAGTTTTTTCACAGGTTTTAGATAACGAGGATGATGAAGTGGGAGTCAGCAGAACAGCAAGTGCGACTCTGCTATCTATCTTAAAACTTCATCAAACCAAAAAGTAGGTAAAATTTGTTTTCATCCCTTTCAAGTTTGTTATGGTGCTTTTAACAATTTGTCAAGTTTATTGAAGATTCCTTTGCCGACAATGAAAAGGGTGTGTCTTCTTTACCAACAACATCAAATATGGCATGGCATGCCAAATTCGTTTCAAGGTTTATAGGTCAGTGGGTCTCACGTGTGGGTGTGTACTCAATATCATTTCATATTTCAATTGTTCAACCACTCAAACAATTGAAAGCTTTTAGAAAGATTTTTGGAAGATTAAATTATAACTATGTCATGTTTAGTTGAGCACGCTTTGGGCTGCTATGATTGAAAATGTAAATTTTCAGCTGTTCTTGCTTTTCCCCTGTATTTTCATATGATGTTTTGGGCTGCTATGATTCCTATTTTACACCTTTTTGTCTTAGGAAATTAGCCTTGGTTCAATTATCAGTTTAGCTGCTGGTTCACCAAAAAAATATGATCAAATCACCCATCACTCCCAAGAAAAAATGAAATAATAAAATGAAGGGAATCCTAATGGAAAGCTTCAACTTGGTCCTTGAAGTGTTGTAGTAGGCTCTCCATGCTCATTACTGTCACATCACCCTTATCTCTAACCCTTACGCTAACCTGAAACCATAAGAGGATGGATCAGAGATTAACTTCTCACTAGAAGACTTCATGGCAGAGTTTAACTTACAACAAAGGACCCTGGGCAGTATAAACAAAAATTACGAAATTACGAAGAAAAAAAATAGGACCTGTCCATTTTGAACTTCCTCCCCACCCACAACTAAAATGTAGTTGTACTGTGCGATCTGAGCTTGTCGTACCTGCAAAAACAAGAGCATTATCAGTAAACAAACACAAGGCTGGTTTGCTTCAGATGTTATTATCTCGGTTCAGCAAAGAAATCGACAATGCTGAAGCCGTATTCATAATGTAAATGAATGGGGTGTTGCCCTCACTATGTGTCATGCAAGAGACACAAAATCCCTAGGCTCATCAGGATGGTGTTGCACAGTGCAGTCAAAATTACTGTATAGAAATAGAATAAAAGAACCATGCACTACTTTTCCTTAACTAGTTTATCTCAAGTTCCAGAATTTGGAAATATTTTGGCATAATCAAGTTGACTGATGATAGGAATTGCATTACATCTTAATTACGTAATTATTATACTAATATATGCAACACTACAGGCTGCAGCATGAACATTGAATCTCCCCTGTGACCAGTGGCGGCAGTGGCGGACCTAAAGAGGCGCAAGGAGGTGCAGCTGCACCTCCCCTCTCCGGAAAATCACTTTGAGAAGCTGGAAATGCCCCTCTGCTACTACCCACCAACTGTTCGATTATTTGCTCCAAAGAAGCTCCAGGCAGCAGCTCCTTTGCGCAGGCTGCAGCGCGCAGGGCTGCTTGGCTTCTTTTTTTTAAGTGATATGTCCAAAACGCATAGTTTTGGTCCAAGTGAAAAAAATAAAAATAAAAAATAAAAAAATAAAAAGAAAGAAAGGGCCACCACTACCCACACCGGCCAACCCCCCAACCACATTCCTTTTTTCTCAATCCTCCTTTGCCTCCATCATCCATTAGCTTTTCTCTTTGTGCTTTTTTTCATTATCATTGATTATCTCTCCCTCTCTGTATTCTTTGATTCAATTGGTAGAAACCCATTTGTTTTAGAGGCAAGAGAAGGGTTGTGAAGTGGGCATAAGCCATGGCAGCTCCAAAACCAGAAGAGATAAGCCATCCACCAATGGACCAGCCCTCCACAATTTGTCTGGAAAATTAATTTCTCTCTCAAATTTCAAAGTTATTTCTCTTTATGCTTTAATTAATTAAGATGGATTGTTTGGTTTTGGTTAATTGATAGAGTTTTTGTTTTGGTTATTTTGTATAGATTTTTTTGAATTTATTTATTTTGTATATATTTTTAGTTTTTAATTAATTAATAAAGATTGTTGTGGTTTGATTAAATGATTAATATGGTGAATTGGTTAATATTTCAATGTGGTGTTTATTTGTATATAATTAACATGGTGAAATGGTTAATGTGATTAATATAGTGTTTTTAGCCTTTTTAAATATTGTTTAAATTATCAAGGTATTTGGTTGTGTTTTTCGTTAAGCTTTTAGGCTTTGAAATATTGCCCCTTCTTTGAAAAATTTCTGGGTCCGCCGCTGCCTGTGACAGTAAACCACATATTTGACGCCCATCATACCACAAATGCGAAATCAAATCCTGCATTTACCCAAGTTATGAATGCTCACCTTTTTCTGAATTGTTTTATCACTTGTGTCAACATCGACATAATAACCAGCTTGATGGAGCTGATCCCGTACCTACAAAAATACAAACGCATGCAGTTTTTAATTTAGCTAGGACTTAAGGTTAAAGATATTCTACTCCATTAGTGACAACAAGCATTTTGTACAACTCATAACATCAATAATTAAAAATATATTTTCAGTTCATCAGTTTCCTAAATTATCAACAGAAGACGAACCAAACAAAACAAAACCCTAATCTAACCAAAGAGGGGTTGGGTTGGATAAGTTTCCTTCACCAGTTACCAAGTGAATTTGTGCGTCTGAATAAAGTGTACTTCAGTACCGAAACCTAATATAAAACTAATTAGATTTTGCTTCAAAAACATTTAAAGAAAGTAGCTATGATAGAGAGGTGATGAAATCTGGAGAAAGAGGCAAGACTTTAGCCATAACTCCATGATCTAAATCTTCATTCTCCACGGACAATATTATGTCAGACAGTTTGATTGGTCGTTTGCTAACTGTATCTCCGACAACCAAAAATGTCAAAAATAGAACTAAAACAATGTAAGCCACTCTAGCTTGGCAAAGCAGTTGGCCACCAAGAGAGAGGCTACTGAAGAAATATGGTGATTGGCTCGCAAGATGAACAACCTGAGACATAAAAAAACTTGATGGCTCATAGCCTTACACGATACACAAGCTACACTCAGGCAAAACAGTCGATCCAAAGAAGGGAAAAATTAAAATTAAAAAAAGAAAGAAAGAAAAACCAACCTGTAGAGCATAAGGCAGGGCTGTGTGCGACACAGGGCAAACAATTGCCTGACGTGGACTAAGCCAGAAGGGCCATTTCCCTTTGTAGTGTTCCAACAGTACAGCAAGCATACGCTCAACAGAACCTAAAACAGCTCTGTGTATCATAACAGGCCTTTCCATCTTGCCGTCTTCACCCTCTGCTGAGTAATACAGCTTAAAGCGGTCGGGAAGTTGAAAATCAAGCTACAACCACAGCATTTTTCCAAAATGGTAACAGCAACAAAATGAAACGTCAAGAGATCATGAAACGAAAAATAGCGATCATCATATACCTGTAATGTTGCCAACTGATGATCTCTGCTCAATGCATCAGATACAGTGATATCTATCTTCGGTCCATAAAATGCACCATCCCCTTCATTCACCTGCACAACATGACTAGCGATGTAACCACACTCCAGACACAATCTAGAAATTCAGGGGGGCCTACTGTAGTGCTTTAAAACTAGTACGATCCTTTATAACAGATCCATCAGAGTCAAGTGTTAAAGCACAATAGTTATCTTTGAGAAATTGGTAAGCAGATAACAAGTTGTGTTTCATTTTAGGAACATGGAGCACATTACTCAAATGAAATTTAGCATGAGGAGAATGCAAAGAAGAAGAGCCAATGTGATGTATAGAGAGACCATTACCATCACCGACATAAACTTTGTCCTCACCAGTATACGGTGTTGGTGAAGAGATGTTGGCAATATCATTAGTGATGTGAGTTGTGGCGCCAGAATCCAGTAGCCAAGATGGAGAAGGTTTGGAGGTATAGTGTGCACACATGGCTGCAAGTTTTGCAGGAGGAATCTTCCCAGAGAAGTCAGGATTCATGCGATCATAGCAATCAATAGCTTCATGACTAGTAGAGCCACAAGTGGTAAGGGTGGGTGGGGGAATCAGTTAGGATGCCATGGGTTTCCAATGTAACCAAAGTGGAAAAACAAAACAAAAAGCAAGCAACTACACTAGTGCACTATGAAAATTAGATCAATTTTCTTCCAAGTGAATTTTATTATCATTAGCTGCCAAAGGAAGAATAAGCTAGATGCTTATGTGCAATTAGAGTATCAAGTAAAAATACCTCCCAGGGCTTGCCGAACTCAATTAAAGCTTCTTTAAGAGCAGCCTCAGCCTTCTTCCAGGTTGCCAAATCTCCCATGTGGCTTTCTGGCATCTACAACATAAACGTGTAAGGCAGAATAAATATGAATTTCCCCTACTTCATAGACGAGAGATAGATACACACAATTATAACTCATAGCATTATGCAGTACCTGAAACACAGAGACATTATAGGTATACTCGATAAACTCTAAGACACCCATCACTTCATCTTTTACCTGAAACACAGAGACATTAAAGTACTATAAGCAAAACGAAACCGTAAAAATACAAAAACAAAAGTAAAATGTTAGGATCTATGTGAGTAAAGTTTAACTCACTTGGGACTCCCTGCAGAAGATATGAGCGTCATCCTGTACCAAAAAGAACGTCAATAATGCTGGAAACTGGAACTAATACTCTAACTATACAAAACCTACAACATTAACATCATTTAAAGTATCATGGTGGAGAGATTTGGTGGAGACAGGTTATTGAGCCTTGATGGCAGTATTTTGGGTTGTGTGGGGGGAGAGAAATAGAAGAAATTTTGAGAATTTCAAAGGTGATGGGCTAGATGAGTTATGGGATCGAGTTCATTTTTGGGCATCGCTTTGGGCATCTACTTCCTCAGAGTTTAAGGGGATCTTCTTCCAGCTTATTCTTCTAGATTGGAAGGCAGTTGCTTTATAGTGCTATTTGGCTTTGTTCTTTTCCTTGTCTCTGCTTATAGTGGCCCTCTTGGCCACGGTTTCTGTTATATCTGTAATCTGCTTTTGTTTCAATAAAATTTCGTTTCTTTTCAACAAAAACTATATATATCATCTAAAGTAAATGCCAGGAACCCGAAAATATAAACAAAGTATACCTGCTGGAATCTCCTGACACGTGTTAATCCAGTGAGTGCACCACTGGCCTCATTCCGATGTAACACCCCAAAATCAGCCATTCGTAGAGGTAGTTCTTTGCATAAATATCAAACGCACACATAAGTAACAAGTTCAAGTCCTTAACAGCTAAGGATAGTCTATCACAGTTTTACCAAGGTCAAGAAAATACCTCTATAAGAACGGTTCCTATGCTGAAACATTACACAGTGCCCTGGGCAGTTCATTGGCTTCAAGCCAAATTATTGTTTCTCAATCTGCAATGGAACTTGACTTCGTCATATAAAAGGATACAAAATCAAGATAAACTTAGCCCAGTTCATTTACACCGCATAACTATTAGATGATGATCTCAATCAATCATCTGCATTGAATTTCATACTATAATTCCATATTATTTTACTGTTTGAGCAACAGAGCCTTCTTCTTCATGAAATTATCCAATATTTGGTATCATTCATATACACAGAATTAATAATAAATAAATATACATTTTCAAATCTGTGTATTGACCTTATTTTTATGTGTAATGATTATGCACTAATCCTTGTTTTATGGCACTACACAAAATTAAGGCACTTAGCCTTGTTTTATGGCACTACACTAATCCTTGTTTTAAGGCACTAAACCTTGTTTTAGTGCACCACCAACCTAAGCACTAGTGCATGTTTTATGCTCTCTTGAGATGAGCTAAAACAACTCTTATAAATAGATGGAGTGTGTGCAAGTAAAATGAGGATGAGAAGCATTAGTGCATGCTCTCTACGTTGGTGTGTGTGAGACAAGAAGTGTGAGTGCATATCAAAGAGTTGTAGTGAGTTTTACACCCACAAAGAGAGAAACCTCATTCTCCCTAAACACTCTCCTCTAGGCAATTCACCAAGAGCCTTGGTCTTGGGTACGTGGAATCAATGGAGTAACTTTCATAGCCAATCCAGCGACCTTGGAGACGAAGAACGTGTAGAATCTTGTTGGCGTGCTCGTGACGTGGAAGCATCTCGGCGGGCTAGTAATTGCAAGCGGTTTTTCACTTGGAATCTTCCGCAAGGTATGCAGTACCTTATTCCGAATATATATTTACGATAATTAACAATGGTATCAGAGCTTGTATGCTTGTTTTTCGCCATGTTGATTGATGCATGAGAATTTTTTTTTTCTTCCGCAAAAACCACCATGAAAGCATGAACCAAGAAACTTCGTTTTTGTTTGATTGTTTTTTGATGTTTTCTTTCCATGAAGTATGTTCCTCTATGTGATGAGAACTTACCTTTAAATTTTCGTACAAATTAAAGGAGTGGTTTAGGAGAAAATTGAAATCCAAGAGCATGAAAAACAGTTTGTTTTCGAGTTTTTTAGAGCATGTTTGTATGCTTTTAAATTGTTTTTCTATGTTGTTTCTTTGCCTTAGCATATTCTCTGTTGCATGAGCTTTCCAATGATATATCATATGCGTCATTTGGATGCATAACGAAGGAGATAGAGGTCTCCAAAGATGGCCAAATGATCATGAAAATCTGGAAAAATTTTCTGGAAATTTCAGCAAGATGAATAGTGTTCTTCGTGAACAGTGTTCTTTGTGAACACATCCTCTTTGAAGGCGCGTGAGAGCACATATGTCCTTTGTAGAGCTTCATCTTAGACATATGGAATCCAATCGTGGACTCCTCCCGTCTATTTTCTAAAAATCTTTTGGCTAAGTATCACATGGAATAAATGAATAATTGTTTGTTTATGAAGTTGCAACATAATGACATGTCATTTAGAAACTAAATATGTTATTAAGTTGTTCATATTTAGCATGCCAAAATATGGACTTAGGATTGGTTGAGTTAATTTATGGGTCATACTGGTGGAATTGACTACCCAAAAATGTGTGATGTCTAGGCAAGTTTTTTAAGGAAACACCTTTGGTGTTTAAGAGGAAATGATATTTAAGCGAGTTCATCTCCACCACTACTCCCGAAACTTACCTAGTCACATTTTTTCGGTGGACTTTCATTGGATAACCTATTAAATGGATTCCCAATTTTAAATCTATGAGAGGCCCATGCGCTTTTATGAAACTGCGCAAACTTTTGTTTTGGTTGGAAACTTTGTGTTTTGTAAGTAGAAATTTGTTTAAAAGTAATTGAAAATGTTTATTTAGACTTGCTTTTTTGGGTGATGATTATAAGCATAGCAAATTTTCGAGTCCAAATTTGTAAGGAAGGATAATTCTTTTCAATTTATTTTTTGAAACAAATAGAAATGTGCAAAACGCTAATACTAAAGTCAATCCTTGTGTTTTATAGATAATGACCACCAAAAATGTTGTTGCTGACCTAAATAAGGGAGACAAACTTGAGGGTACCAACTATGATATTTGGCATAGGAAAATTCAATATCTTTTGAATGAGCAGGAGTTATTGGAAACATTAACCAATTCAATGATCGAACCTGAGGTTGGGCAAACGGCCCAACATCGCCGTGATCTTGAAGCTTATCAGACTTGGTTCAAAAAGGATCGTTGTGCGCGCTTTACTATGCTAAGCAGCATGCACAATGATCTTATTGGGGGATATGAAAGCTATCCTACTGCCAAGGCTTTATGGGATAAACTAAAGTTTGATTTTGGTGGTACGTCCACCACTCGACTTAGAAGTTTGGTCCTGAAGTTTGAGGTATACCGCAAAAATCCTAAGCACACGATTCATGAGCACTTAAGGGTGCTTTCTAGCATGATACGTGACTTAAAAGCTGCTGGAAATACCCTCACTGATGAGCAGCAAGTGCAGG